TGTGTTCACTTCTTTGAAGGTCTAAAGTGATTCTGGGGTCTGTAATGTATGTGGCAATTTTTAGTGGGATTCCTTAATAAAGATACCAGAGAGCAATCACGTCAGTCAGCATGAGTTCCTTTCCATTCTGAGACAATCTCCTTTTGGAGCTGTGTTCCCACAGGTCAGAGTGAAGTGCATGATATGCTTCTAGTTCCAAAGTGTATCTTTGTGACTTTCAATTGATGAATCATGTTAGAAATTATCACAGTAATCAATTCATTTTAGTTTACATATTGTTGGGTGTACAATTCCACCTGGGTGTAGATTTATACTATTTATATAGCATTTTAGAATATCCAGAATTTGGCAAATTGTTGAACTCAGTCTGAACTTTGAAGTTGGTTTGCTCAGCTTTTTAAAAATATTTATAGAAAACTGGATTCAAAATTAAGGCAGTAATTACAAATTTCCCAAATTCAGGATGCTTTGAAATGCTGCATTAATAGATCACATCCAGCCTTAGGGGGAAATTCTCCCCATATCAATTTGTTGTCTGTAAATACAAATGTCTGACTGATGGATAGACTGCTGCCTGTTAACACTCCTATTAATAATAATCCTTACATTTGATATAGCGCCTTTCATGTCAGAAGGATGAATCAAACCACTTCACATGATTTGCTGCAAAGTGTAATGACTGTTTATTTTGTACCCTAATGCGGCAACCTAGTTGCGCACAGCAATGCATGATGCGAATGACCAATTTTATCGGAAGGATTGTTTGACAGGATGTGGGAGAAACCTTCTCCTTTCAAATAGTGCCATGACATCTTTAACATCCATCTGAGCAGGCAGACAGGACTTTGGTTTAACATGTCATCCAAAAGATTGTATCTCCACCGGTGATCCCTCAGCAATGTATTGGAGTGTCAGCCGAGATTATTGGTTCTGATGTGGGGCTTGATACTACAGCCTTTAAACTCAGACGTGGGACTGTTACCAACTGAGCCAGGCTGACATCTTCATTCCAGTTTTGAATGGAAGGTTAATACTTTGTAATACAGTTCTTTCCCAAGGGCTTTGTTTTTTTATCTCTTGGTCCAGATCTTGCAGAAGTCATTTGCACTTTCTTCACCTGAATGTGGAAACTGATCAAATAGACTTGTTCCTAATATGGCTGCTCTTTGCAGAGCTGGGGAAGCAATTCCAAAATGCTGCATTGTCTTGCATTACTCGTATAAAGTCATCTGTTTTCCAAAATTGTAGCTTCAAGTGGAAGTACCTAATCCTTTTGCGTTTGAGCATTATTCATTTGTGATCCTTTATAGTGAGTTATTTGACTGCGGGGAAAACATAACTGACGCTAATCCTATTCTCACTTGATGCCCACATTCTCTTATCTTCAACCTGGGGCTTCGGATTAGTGATCAGGAGGGAGAACAATGGCTTGTTTTCCCTTCTCTAATGAGAGAGAACAAATTGCATTGCTACCCTCCTGATGGAAGCAACTCAGCGCAGAATCTGCACCTTCTGCTATATATGGCTCGTCTACTCATTAGCACGATATGTCGAACCCTGTCTAGTTTGAATACTCTGTCTAGTTTGAAGCATGGTGATGGATTTCTGCATGTATCAGACACCTGGCTGACCCCAAAACAATAAAATATTTGGCTTTCTAAAATTGAAACATTCGAGAAAAATTGGAGCAAGCCAATGTTTTTAAGCATTAGAGCATAATGTGCAATGTGGGTGTCAGTTACTGAGTCATACAGTCCAGGAAAGTCGAGACTCTGATAGACTCTGCACTGTGTAAGTTATACTAGTCAGAATAGCAATACAGGCACTAAAAAAATGGCCACAGCACTCATGGGCGAGGAGAGAAATATCAGCCAGGGTTTGTGATCATTGTCTAGTGACCCTAATGATAAGTTCTATTGGACCAGAGGAGAAGATGATCAGGTGTGATTGAGATAACATCGGTGGTCACATAGCCTGATGTTACTCACTTACTTACTTACTCCCTCTCTGGGCTCACACATGAAGATTAACCACTTGGTTTAGGTACTGAACAATCATATACACCTGTGGAGCAGCTCCTGTTGGAGGGTATTTTTTTAACGAAGGCTCCTTGCTCCTTTAAGCTATTCAAGGATCAGAATCTGAAATAGGCTTTGATTTGCCTGATTTAGAAGTTCTAATGGCAGTGTATCTTCAGAAAATGTAGTTTGTTTTCATCTTGACCTTTGAAACTATTTTGCTGTCATAGTGAGTGTTGGTGTTAGTTGAACATCTCCTGCAGGGAGGATCTAAGCAAACTGTAATGTTTAAATCTATCAGTTATTGGCTGTCGTTTGTAACAGAGAGGCTGTTAATGGCTTCTGTCAGTTTGAATAAAGACACAGGATTGAGAAATAAGATACCAACACTGCATTGCCATAAATATTATGCTAGCGACAATTTACAATGCTATTGTCATTCGTTTGAACAGATGGTCTATGGATATACTGTCTAAATGGTCTTCAATAGTAAGCCTCTCCATATGGAATTTATCCCATGAGGGAGGGGACTAAATAGGAAGTGAATTGGAGCAATCTCAATCACAGGATAAATTCTGTCACTGACTTGCCATGTGTTCTATATCATAACACAGTCACTACACTGTGCAGTAAAATCATATGAAGCTATTTGAGACATCCCCTGATGGGAAAGATGTTATACCAAATGTAAGGATTATTATTACAGTGTAAAAATGTTGGTTAAAAATCTGAGTATACAACAGTTAGATTTTAATCTATGCAAAGTGCAGTGAAATGCCATCCATTTCTTAATATGAAATCTGAAAATAAATCTCTTCAGAAAGGATTTTGTCAGCTTTCTTGATAATCCCCTGAATTGGAAATGTATGGATAATCTTGATAACAATACACACTGTATCATAGTGTATTGCAATAGTTTGTTTGCTTTCTGCATTACAATAGAATTCCCCCAAAAAATACCCCATTATGACAGTTTTACAGTATATCCTGTGAAGCTCTTTGAGACATTTTTGTGATGTGAAAAGCTCTATATAAAACGTAAGAAATTGAATTTAATTATATACTATATATGTTCTTAATGGGACCATTTATAAACACATGTAAATTTGTCAAATAAAGTAAACTGTTTGGAGTTCTGCAACAAATTGGTTAGAGCACTCGCTTCACAAGCGAGAGGACCCGGGTTTGATTCCCGGGCAAGGCGAAACATCAGGCAAGGTTCCTTACACCACACGTTTGTTGTTTACTAGCAGTAAGTAGGAACCTGGTTGATTGGCAGATCGCTTTTCTGAGGGTAATAATTGCTTCAAACTTAAAAAAAAATTTGTTCACTCAATCCACGAATGTTTGTGGGACACTGCTGTGCGCAATTGGCTGCAGTGTTCCACAGAACAAAATAAACAGTCAATTAACGTTTCAGTATATTCTATGAAGCACTTTGAGATGTATATGGGACGTCCTCCTGACGTGAAAGGTGCTTTACCAATGTAATTTTGTATTGTATCAACCACATGATAAGGCGCTATATCAAATGCAAGGATTATTATTATTTTAGAAAATGAGTGCAAAGCTAAGTGCATAACATGTGAGGAGAACCATTACACCGACAGAGAAAAGATGTGTTACGCGTGGAAAATTGGGATCACATGTTCTCTTAGAGCTTCTTCTAAATTTTCCACTGGTTAATTGCCATGTGAAGTTACACATGCCGCCCTTGGTTAAATGAGCAGGCAGGTGATATGCTCCAGGCCTGCTTAGCTGTGACATGAGGCAGATAAAAGTTAGTAGCTTATGTGGAAATCCACATTGAGTTGATTAAATCATGGCATTTACTTAATGTAGTCATGGTTCAAAGTAAACCATGCAAGGTTGCATAGAAAGAGTGTAAAGCCCATTTCCAGGCATATTTAAAATCTGACTTCAAGTTAGTACATTTTACCTGGTAATGATTAGTAGGGAAGTTTGTGGCCCATGTTGTGCTTTCAGCCACTAAGCCCTGAAACCTTTGAAATCTCTCCCTCAATCCCTCTGCCTTGTTCCCTCTTTCCCTTCCTCTTTAACCGTTCTTATGATCACCTCTTCCTTTCCCCCCCACCCCAGTGTAACCTCACTCTGAGGCAATGTAACTCTGGAGCTTCAACGAGTCAGAGTAACACACTTCCTATTATCAGCAGTTACGACTTGCAACTTTGAGTCTTGTTTAGTGAACCCTGGCAGCGAATGTCACATTTTAGTCCCAAGTGAGTCGTGATAAGGCACTATACCAAATGCAAGGATTACTATTATTACATACCATATTTGTACGTGAAAATGGTGGCTCTTTGCAGTTTCAAATTTCCCTCGATAAAAGTCTTGGTGGCAGTGCTCATGACACCAAAGCACTCCACTGTAAATTAATGTCTGGTCAGAGCGATTGAGTTGTAAGAGACCTTCATTCACTGGGCTTGTTAATGACTGTAAACGTCTCACTAATGACCATTTGGGAAAGTCAGGGGTTCCTGCAGCTGAAGGGGCTCTCACAGAGCATCGGGTGTGCAGCTGTGCCTCCAAAGCTGCCTCCAGTGATGGGTAACAAGGCCCTACTACATCACAGAGCGGAGAAGTGTAACAGTTTGTGAGCATGGCTTTTGCTTCTGCTTCACTGACCTGTCGGTTCGCGGCAGATGATGGCCCTTAACATGAGCAAAGGCAGGGGAACTGTGCAGCCGACTTGGACGCTGCAGATTATATCTTCCAATTAGCCCGCAAATATATCTTAACATTTTGATTCTCAACTTGATCAAAAATCTGTTTTTTGTAGTGATGGGGTTCCAGCACCGAGACTTAATTTAAGCTGTATTTAATTTAAAGTATTTTTGATGGTCCTGGAGTGTATGTGAACTGGAAATTGCCAACTGTAAAGAATCGCTGTTAAGTGTAAGTCGGCAACCTCCCTTAGATGAGCCCCCTGTCGTCTAATCGAATGTTATGTTGTCTTTCCAGATAGCTGATCAGCTTCCCTGGATTTTGCTGACGACACAGGATTTCTTTGCCTGAAGATGGAAACACTGGAGTCGGAACTGACCTGCCCTATCTGTCTGGAGCTGTTCGAAGACCCACTGCTTCTGCCTTGCGCACACAGCCTCTGTTTCAGCTGTGCACACCGAATCCTGGTTTCCCACTGTGCATCTAATGAGTCCGTAGAATCAATCACAGCCTTCCAGTGTCCGACGTGTAGGTATGTCATCACCCTCAACCATCGTGGTCTAGAAGGGCTGAAACGCAACGTCACTCTACAGAACATTATTGATAGGTTTCAGAAGGCTTCAGTAAGTGGACCAAATTCTCCGAGTGAAAGTCGCAGAGAACGGGCCTTTGACAGTAACACCATGACGTCAACTGAGAAGGTCCAGTGTCAGTTTTGCGAGCAGGATCCACCGCGGGAAGCTGTGAAGACTTGTGTGACTTGTGAAGTCTCGTACTGTGACGAGTGTCTTAAAGCAACGCATCCCAACAAGAAGCCGTTCACCGGGCATCGGCTGATCGAGCCCATCCCGGACTCGCACCTCCGGGGCTTGATGTGTCTGGAGCACGAGAATGAGAAAGTGAATATGTACTGTGTTACAGACGAGCAGTTAATCTGTGCCCTGTGCAAGTTGGTGGGGCGGCATCGGGACCACCAAGTGGCAGCATTAGGTGATCGCTTTGAAAAAATAAAGGTAGGCTTTTATGATATTTTCACTGTATGTGTGCGTGTGTGTGTGTGCATGTGCACACGAGCGAGTGTACGGGTCCGTAAGTCCTTACAAACTGGAGCAAATAATTGCTGCGTTAAGGCCAACACAATTTTCCACATCAAAGTTGAGTTCAAGTGGAAAAGGATATTCAAAGTGATTTGGATTATGTTTAACATAGGAACCTGTTTTAATGGAAAAAAACACATCTAGTCACAGTGTCATGATTGGAGTTTTTTTTTTCAAGTGCCGCTTGATGAAGTGATTCCGTTCACTTAGTCTAATTATTCATCACAGATTAAAATAATAGCCAGTATTTTTTTTACTGAAATTCCAAGTTTTATACCAAGATATTGCATATTGCACATACAGGCTGGGAATTATTATCCTTTTTTTAAAAAGCACTGTTGCATGACTGGTTATGGTACAAATATATTCTTTGGGAGAAGGGAGTGAATATTATACGTATTGTAAATCTGTGATTTCTCAGGGATAATATTTTTATATAATCACCTCTATCTTTTCACTTTGTTTGATCTCATTTCTGTTTTTTTTTCATCAACTAATTTTTATGAAAACAAATCCACAGAAAATATGAAAATAGGAAATGCCCAAATAAAACCAACAACAACTTGCATTTATATAGAACCCCTCACGCGGGTTAGCGTCCCAGAGCACAAGAAACATCTTAATACAAAACACTGCCACACTTTATAATACCATAAGGCAATCCTTTCTTTGCTTGGCAGCCTAGTGTCACCCCTTTAACTGTAGTTTGGTGTCTTTACCACTTTAAAACAACAGAGAACATAACCTGTATATAGCTTATGTAGCATACATATACAATGTCTGTATGATATAGTGGATCCTAAAAGATTGTCTACTATTAGGCAGTTTATGAAGATGCCTGTGATCTGTTCAGGCCGGGGATCTTTTGAATCAGTAAAATCGGCTGGGAGAAGCCTGCAGTCTGCAGCCTGCAAAATGTTCAGTGCAACAGTGGTCAGAGAGAATGAGTGCATTGCTGTAACTATCAGGCATTGTCTTTTCCCCCAGTTTTTACCAACAGTCTTAATAAAAGCTCTGCTCTTTTAAAATTTAGACGGCAGCATTCTGGATTGTATGATACACATTTGATTTCCGTGTGTGGGGGTTATAATTTGATGCATGTGTAATGATAGCACAAGCTTGGTGTACTGAAGATAACAGATACCACCACGCAGCTGTGTTGGGGCAGTATCGGGGTCAATATAACATCATTAAAAAAATGAGGGAGAAAACAATTTTTTTCTTCTTTCTTTATAATTTTTATTTCGCCCTCTGCCTCCTCTCCTGAGACTGACTCGCTTGGGTAAGCGGTTTCACAGGCACCAGTGGCTATCTGGTGCCTCTTTCAAATGATCATTCTTCCTTCATGTGCGAGTCCAGACAGTGAGTCCAGACAGTACATGCCGGCAGGCTGTTTGACTGTGGAACTACAGCCAAGCCTAACCCTGTTCTCACTGGACCTGAGCGGAGAAGTACTTTCCAGGATGGGTCATTGGATCTGACCTGGGCCAATAGAAAATTGCAGAAATATTTGCCAGAAATTGTGGGGTGTTTGGCGCATTTGCGAGAAATTGCGGAGAGATTTGGTAAGTTTTGCGGAAAATTCCGGAGGGTTGATTGGCGCTGTTGAGAGACGCATTTTGTGGAATGACCTGAATCAATACTATAGGTATATATTTCCTGAACATGTAATTATGTTTAAAATACTAAAACAATTGAATTTGAATAGTACAGCACCAACCAAGAATTCGTCGCAGGAGCTCAGTTTAGGCTGCGAGACCCGGGTGAAGCTGATTTCCTGCTTGCACCGTTCCGTGATCCCAACACTCGCCGTGCATGTGCGACCGGAGTCGCTCAGCCCGCAGTAGCTGCGTCGAACTAAGAGCATGAGAGTCCCGGGGCCTAGCATACTGTGTACAGGGATTATTTGTAGCGTGTTTCTAGTGGAGGAGGGCACTTGTAGCAGATTCCACGGAAAAAGTGTGGCCGCACGTTTCTATCGGCCCAGACTACGACCAGGAGCCCACATACTTACTGATCAGCTACCCAGCCCAGGAACACCCAGTACAATTGTAGAATCCTTGCCCTGGCAGAGATTATACTCTGTGTGTTTGGATTATGAACCCAGTTATTACAGTACTTCCATAAATTAATGAGAGGGAAGGAATCTTACCCACCTTGATGGGAAACTTCTTGATCACTCATAAATTTACTGACCTCAATAAGCAAGTACAGTCTATTGTCCAGTGTTGGACATCGGTTGAGAAAATCCCATTGCTAGGTTGCGCAGCTAAGGCAGGAAATTTACCAACGATCAGAGAATCAATCGCACCTCAGTGAATTCTTCTGAACTCATTCTGTTGTGCGTGTGTTTCTCTACTGTTGCTGAAGATGTTTATAACAGTAGCTTGTTCAGTGATCAGAATTTGTACTGTGCGATTGGATCTCAGTTTTGTGCGATAGCTCTTGCTGCTTTCTTTGTACCAGTGGATTACAGATATTTCACGACACACACCGTCTGTTGTGATATTTAAAACTCACACTGACCATGGGTTCATCGACTGTACAACCACTGGTGCTGTGAGAAACCATAGGGTCCAAATATCACATCCTCAAAACAGTGGGATCCAGCAATCCTCCAATATCAATTTACACTATGATACTTCTAATATTATTCCAACACAAAATCATGTTATGAAACTGAGGACCTTAAAATAAAAGAGTGGGAGTAATGCTGCATTTGCAATTTCTTATATACGTTGACTTTAAATTTTTTTTGCCCTTAAAGGGACATTAGGGTCTAACTTGAAAATTTTTTTGTAAGTCTTTATAATGGGATTATATTTTTAGTTCTCAGTCGAAGTTAAACTCCATTTTGTGAAGGGATTAGGGAACTGTTGAGAAGCACCTGTTTGGCTGGTGGGGGATATATATATTACAGTGACAACAATTGAGTTAAAACTCGCTGTACTTCTGTGTGTGACACACGGCTCTTCTTTCCCCTTCCATTCCTTAAAACACTTTGTGAAGAGAGTAAGCTATCCTGTCAGGGCACAGTCTACACATTGTGTAATTATGTTACTATAACAAACCGGAATTGTATTTGTCACTGCAGTGAATCTTGGGTTGTTTGTACAATTGAGCTTGCACTATAAGGTGAAATTCCTAGAGCTGTTCAGTGCTCTCATTTTGGTGCTGAGCACTTACAATAGGGAAAATCAAGTAGGTTGGTATGAACTTGAACTATGAAGTTCAACGATAGCACTGATGTGTCTGAACTGACACACACACATCCACACAGCAGTGAGGCTGCTCCATGTACATGGGAACAAAGACGAAAGCAGCATATTTGCACCATTACGTTTAAATATAGGTCACCAAGCAAAGAGATATTCTGAGGTCAATCCAGGGTTACGCTCATTACAATTGCTATGACAACACATGGGATGATGGGCAGCCAAAGCCTTCTACTGAGCTTTGCAGTAATGTTGGGAAGGTGATGGATTGAATAGTACTTTTAGCTGCACTGTATTTTAGTGGAGTTTGCAACTATCACTGTTATGCCAATAAGCCTGCCACCACTTGAAAGGTTGCAATACACAGAGATAGAGCTAGGTAACGGCCTTCTTATCTTAAGCACCAAAGCTTCAAAACCATTTCACATATTTGCATCAATTGGGAGGTCAGAGAGAATCTTACCTTCTGTCTCCCAGCTGACAGCACGACAACGAATTTCTGCCATCTGAATCACTCCCTGCCTAAAGTAAGACCACCTCAGGGCTCGGTCTCCTACAAGGATTGATTTGAAGGTGGCACATTGTAAGTTGATGGCAGATTAACTGCAGAATGACCCCAGCACAACATCTCCAGCCCTAACGTTAATACATCTTCAAGCTTCATATTCTGTCAGGTGCAACAGACAAAATATGACCAGACCAGAATATGATTTCTTAGATCATAACAAGAGACCTACCATGCTGGAGGTATTGAGAGAGATACAGAACAAGAAGGGAGGAGGTTTAAAAAAAAAAGAGAAATTGGAAAGTAAAGCCAGCAAGAGAAACTGGCAGTAAGAAACTGGAAAAAATACAGGCTGATGGACACTGTTCAAGATTTAGCATTTTCATTTTCCTAGTGATCTACATATTCACAAATCTCCAGCTCCAGAAATACAAAACCAGTCGTTTTGTTATTGTTTCTTGTTTGTGTATTGCAGTTGTTTGGTGTTTGGTTTCTATACCTAGCTTATATTGTTTCCATTGGATACATTCTGCTTACAGTGCTGAAGAAAACATACAAATGGCTCACAATCAAAATTCATTTTGTTTGTACTTTTGTACTATTAGAATATATTAGAATATACAGCACAGAAACAGGCCATTTGACCCAACTGGTCTATGCTGGTGTTTATGCTCCACATGAGCCTCCTCCTGCCCTTCTTCAGCTAAGCCTTCAAGCATAACTTTATATTCTTTTCTCCCTGATGTACCTATCTAGCTTCCCCTTAAATACATCTATGCTATGGGTATTTAAATTAATTTTGATTAGTTAAGGATTTCAAAGATTTTATGCTACTTTAAACAAATCGTTAATGTGATGAGAACCACCACATTTTCACTCTTTCTCTCTCTTGATCATTTTCTCTCTGCTCTTGCTCATACTGCTTCTCTTTCACTGTATGTGTTTGCCTCCTTGCATCTGCCTCTGATTCTGTCTATCTGTCTGCATCTCCCTATCGTTATTTATGTTTCTGGCTGTCTTTCCCTGTTTCTGTTGCTCTTTCAAGTGAGTCATTTACAGTTTTACAGAATAAAGAAAGATACAAATTGCAGATGATTTGTTTCTGCATACCTATACCCTGACTGTCCATATGCTTCACTCAGACATTTGCAAAACCATTCTTAAAACAATGAGCAACTTTGAATCTAATCTATTTG